AACGTTTGATCGAACATATAGTCGGTGAAATGATATGTTTGATAATGCGATACTTTGATGTCAGTGTTTGATTGTGAATAAGGCATAGTGGGAATCTTGTTGTATTACCACTAGTTGTATTGCTGCGAACCAAGTTTCAAGTTCTTAGTTCGATTTCCAATTTTAAGGTCGTAGACTTGAAAATTTGAGAACTAGGAATTTTAGGGACTAGCGAATTTGGGAACTATGGGAGTAGGGAATTTGAGAACTAGGAAATTTGGGGACGAGAGTTTAAGTACTAGGGATATTGAGTTCTAGGGATTTTGGGAACTAGGGAATTTGGAAAGTAAGAAATTTGGGACTAGGGAATTTTTGAAGCTTGGGAATTTGGGGTCTAGGGAAATTGGGAACTAAGGAATTTTAGGATCTAGTGAAATCCGAAACTAGGGAATTTGGGGACGAGAGTTTAAGTACTAGGGATATTGAGTTCTATGGATTTTGGGAACTAGGGAATTTGGAAAGTAAGAAATTTGGGGCTAGGGAATTTTTGGAGCTTGGGAATTTGGGTCTAGGGAAATTTGGGACTAGGGAAATTGGGAACTAGGAAGTTTGGGGTCTAGGAAATTTGGAAACTATGACATTCTGGACTAGGGAATTTTTGGAACTAGGGAATTTGGGGTCTAGGGAAATTGGGAACTAAGGAATTTTGGGATCTAGCGAAATTCGAAACTAGGAGAATTTGGGAACTAGGGAATTTGAGGACGAGAGTTTAAGTAATAGGGTTATTGAGTTCTAGGGATTTTGGGAACTAGGGAATTTGGAAAGTAAGAAATTTGGGACTAGGGAATTTATGGAGCTTGGAAATTTGGGTCTGGGGAATTTGGGGACTAAGGAATTTGGGAACTAAAAAATTTGGGACTAGGGAAATTGGGAACTAGGAAGTTTGGGGTCTAGGAAATTTGGAAACTATGACATTCTGGACTAGGGAATTTTTGGAACTAGGAAATTTGGGGACTAGGGAATTTAGGAACTAAGGAATTTTGAGATCTAGGGAAATTCGAAACTAGGAGAATTTGGGAACTATGGAATTTTGGGGTCTAGAAAATTTCTAAACTAGGAAATTTAGAAGCTAAGAAGTTTGGAAATTTGAAAATTTAGAAATCTACTAATCCAGAAATCTAGAAACCCAGAAATCTTGAAATTTAAAAACACAAAAATTCAGAAATGCTGGAAATTGTAAAAGTGTGGAAACGTGACAACGTTAGCATTTGAAAATTTATTTTTCGAAAAGCATGATTAACATCATCAGCTAAATCCTTGAACTCTCCGGTGTTTTGTTTGCAATTTTATTGGCAAGCTCACAAATTCAGCACGTTTAAATGGTAGTTTCCAAAAAACAATCCGAACTGATAACATTTGGCAAAGTTTCAAGACCCGTTTCAAACGTCAAAGTAATACTTCCTATATTTATTTAACAGTGTTTTACGCAAAATTTTGTACAAACAATTTCGCTTTGAAATAGTGAAATAACGTTTCCGAATTATTCAAAGTAAATGTTCCATCCATATTTAAATAATTATTCCACATTATGAAAATTTAAAAAATTCCACTCAAGATATTTTCATTTTTAAATTTGACTCGAAACTTTTATTTTACGTTCCCAAAATTTGCCTAAGAACTTAGCTCATCAAAATTTGATTTCTCTTCAAAATTCACTTAGCCCCTAAACTTAATTAAAATTCATCTTTTCACTTTCAACACGCGCCCTTTCAAATTTCCGCACCCTTTCCCTATCTGTTATTAAAACACATTCTCGACCCATATAGGTACGGCAGCGTCCATAATATCGGATTAAAATACACGCTCGACATTCTGACGTCACGATCGAAAGGGAAAAAAATGCGAAGCGTGTAAAATCCTTTGGAAACGATATCAGCATGAGAGAATTGCAAAGAAATCTTTAGCCCTTATTTTTCCACGTGAATATCGCGTGGACCGTTTCCAACCCTTTCGCAACCCCTTTTGCCCTTTTAATCGCGAGGCCTCCGACCTGATTTCGTCACGAGTCCACCCCCGTGGCGGGGGTGTGCACCCCACAGAGTACTAATTCGAGCTGTAGCGTCGCGATATCGATTAAAACGCGATGACGAGTGCGCTCTGTTGAGATCAAAGACTTGTTTGCGAACGTTTCACGTTTGTTGCTACGGTCGCTGGGTTGTCAAAGTAACGAGGATAATTACGAATTTCGAGGCGCATTCGCGGCCGCAGACGGAAACGGACGTTCGTTTCGTGGAATATCGGGTGAGGTAATTTAGTGTGATGATTAAATAGGTGTTTGTCTTGGACGATGTTTTCTTTTTTAATGTGGTAATTGGGAAAGAGTTTGTTTTTTGGGTGCATTTTAATGATTAAAGTGTGAGAGGTAGATGGACATGGTGGTAGATTTTACTAATTTTCTGATTTTGCAAGTTTACAATTTTATAAATTTCAATTTTACAATTTTCAGATTTTCTAAATTTCTAATTTTCAGATTTTTCAATTTTGTAATTTTGTAATTTTCTGATTTTGCAATTTTCTTGTTTGAATAATTTCTTAATTTTACTAGGGAATTTGGGAACTAGGGGCCTAGGGAATATGAGAAATAAGGAATTTGAGAACTAGAGAATTTAAGGGCTAGAAATTTGGGATTAGGTAATTTGGGAACTAAGAAATTTGGGACTAGGGAATTTGGGAACTAAGAAATTTGGGAATAGGAAATTTTTGGAACTGGAGAATTTGGGACTAGGGAATTTGGAAACTAAGGAATTTGGGACCAGCGAATTTGGGAACTAAGAAATTTGGGACTAGGGAATTTGGGAACTAAGAAATTTGAGAACTAAGAAATTTGGGAACTAAGAAATTTGGGACTAGGGAATTTGGGAACTAAGAAATTTGGGAATAGGGAATTTTTGGAACTGGAGAATTTGGGAACTAAGAAATTTGGAACTAGGGAATTTGGGAACTAAGAAATTTGGGTCTAGGGAATTTGGGAACTAAGAAATTTGGGACTAGGAAATTTGGGAACTAAGAAATTTGGAACTAAGAAATTTGGGAACTAAGAAATTTGGGACTAAGGAATTTGAGAACTAAAAAATTTGGGAGTAAGGAATTTGGGAACTAAGAAATTTGGGAATAGGGAATTTGGGAACTAAGAAATTTGGGACTAGGGAATTTTTGGACCTAAGGAGTTTGGGAACTAGGGGAATTTGAGGACTAGAGAATTTAAGGACTATTTCAGTTTTATAATTTCTTAAATTTACAATTTCTAATTTCCAAATTTTACATTCTCCCAATTTGCACATTTTCAAACTACAGCCTTACAATGTTTCAAATTTACGGATTATTAAATTGTCAAATTGTCAAATTTTTTAATTTATAAACTTTGAAATTGTCTAGTTTACAACTTCATATCTTTATAATCTTTCAAATTTACAAGTTGGCAAATTTTCAAATTTCCTAATTTATAGTGTTGTAAATCTACAATATGACAAATTGGCAAATTAGCAGATTTATGAATTCATAAAATTAATCTTTCAAAGTTTCATATTTAATAATTTAACAAATTCAAGATCACAAATGTTCAAGTCAACTTTTAAAAATTGAGCGCTTGAAAATAAATACTGATATTGAAACAGCTATTACTTTTATATGAATCAACGAATTTGTCATTATTATTTAATTAACAGTATCATACTCTTATTACATATCATAACTATAATATATAATATATGATATATAACTCATCATTATTTAACCATTTTACATAAAACTTGACGAATAAAACTCAATCCCACATCCACGCAAATAAAAAACAAATTTAAAAGCACTACAAAATCCACAGAAAGCGAGAAATATAAAAATAAATGGTGATAATTTCATAACACAAGTCCATCCTTTAAAAAGCTTCATATTATAAATCAACACGACTTCTCCCCTACAACTTTTTTCAAATATGAAACCACCCCGCGAAGTAATGGAAAGAAAATAATTTTTTAATCTTCTTTCACAAGATAAAATAGCGGTGCAGCTCCTGGTAGAACGTCGGGAAAGAAGGTTCTATTTTATCTTTTCGGTGGATAAATTCGTGAAGTACAAACTTGGGATAGTGAAAAGAAAATAGCTTTTTACTTTTTTGCCGTATATGAAAGGAGGATGTAGGTATTCATCTCGTAGAATGTAGAAAGAGGATATTTGATCCTTTTCAGTTAGGTTACTTCGTGAACCTTAACGAATTTTTAATACTTTTCCTATATATAAAATGTGAATGGAAATTCTTTTTTGGTGAAATATTAAAGGGATACTTCCCTCATAAAAATTACATTAAGATAGAAATTTGCTTCGTGAATTGAATGAAAAATAATTTCGACATTTAGGTGGTTTCATAGTTAAAACAAAGAGTGTACAAATGTTTTCATTTACTTTCTCGTTTTGGTGAATTTCGGAATGTCACATTTGCGTAACACGCCTCTGTATAGCTGCCATAAATTTCATTAATCTTTCAGTACGATGCTGGCCTGATATTCTGAGAAAAGTTCGTCAATGTTTAAGTGTACACAGAACAATGACGTACATACTAATTTAAGACATAAGTACCATGCAATCGTGATACTATCACGAATCATATTTTTAAGAAAGCTATGAGTGAAATATCAAATACAATAATACCTCTTAATATTCATTTCAATAAACATAATAATTAATAATAAGACACACAATTTAAAAAATAAATAATTGTTTTATCCTCCACTTTCATGAAATAATGAAAAAAAAGTAACTAACTAAATAAGATAAGTTGCAAAAATAAGAGAACGCAAAGTGCTGCAATATTTTTGTTCAAGAGAAGTCTCTCATTTTGTTGAGAGTTTGTACGTTCATTGTTTTATAGAAATTGTCTACGTTCAGACACGAATAACATGCGAATATTTTACACTTTACAGGAAATCTAGATTGTAGTAACAGGAAACATTCAATTTCTGTTACAGGCGTTGCTGTATCTGATACAATTGCTAGATCCAATTGTAAAAGGCGACTATGTTATCGCTTATTTCCACACGCTAACAACGAGCAACAACTACCCTAGCCTGCATTGGTTACGTGAAGTGTACAACGTGCTTCCTTACAAGTAAGATTTATTTTAATCGTATTTTAATTTAGTTTTAAATTTCGAATGTTCGATTATCACTCGATTCGGATGGAGTAAGGATTCGAATTTTTGGGCGTTTCGAATATTGAAACATTTGAATATTGGTAGAATTTCAAGTTGGAATAGCGCTGAATTATTCGATTACTTCAAATTTATTCCAAGTGGGTTCGAAGACTGGAAAAGTTTCTTCGAATATTTAGTGGATTCAGGAATTCTAGGAATATTCGAATATTTGGTGAATTCAAGGTTCAAGGAATATTCGAATATTTGGTGAATTCAAGGTTCAAGGAATATTCGAATATTTGGTGAATTTAAGGCTTAAGGAATATTCGAATATTTAGTGGATTCAGGATTCAAGGAATATTCGAATATTTAGTGGATTCAATGGCTTGAAAGGTATTCGAATATTTTAGTGAATTCGAATTACTTGGATGAATTCAAGGATTCGAAATATATTCGAATTTTCAGTGAAGAAATATTCAGTGTATTCGATTTTCAGTAAATAATTGAGAATTAATTCGAATATATCTTGAAAAATACCACGAAAAATATTTCGACCCCCCGTTGGATTCGAACCGGGGGCCCCTCAGATTACAAATCCCGTGTCCTGCCAACAAGACCAACATCATCCACTACAATCTTCTCTCCTAAAATTATAATAAACTAAAAACCCATAATAAATGAATGATACTGTTAGTTCAAGAACTATTCATATCCAATAATTTGTTTAATAAAATAAATGATATAAAATATCTATGATACAATATACACAGTATAATCAGTTATGTTTAAAAACGCAATCTTATTTCGTTTCTTCAATCTATGATTCATACACATTGCATTATATCTCTCACACGATTCGTATCATGCAAATTAGATGTTTTGTTTACGACTATCTACGTGTTATACTTTATGCGTAGCGAATGATCGATCATAATAATCGGAATAATACATCATCTCTTTATGACTTGATGACCATGAGAGCGTAGATTTATAGGATAAAAAGGATCATTTGTAACTATGACGGGAATTCAAATAGATAAACTAGTTTTGATCAGAAATTTTGATTGTTCAAATACAAAATTATTGTGATGCTAATATTTCTTAATTTTTTTTACAATATTATTTTTGTTTTGTTGCAGGTATAAGAAGAACCTTAAACACTTCTACATCATTCATCCAACCTTTTGGACCAAGGTTTGTATTTCACTTCTTTCATTATTTTTAATTTTTGTTGCAAAGGTTTCATTTTTATTTTTGGTTAAAGATATTCAGAAATATACTGTGTTCTATTAATTTGAGTAATTTCAAATCATTTTCTGTATTATAATTTTTAATTTTGTAACTAACAAATTTCTTTATTGTACACATGGTAGATTTAAAAAAAAGTACTACCATTTCTAAAATATTTTTATTTGCATCTTAAAATTATAATTTCAGGAAGAATTTTATTTTTATACCTACCCTTATATATTTACACGAGAACTATTTTTACAGTACAAAATTATAAAAATTCAAGAAGTAGAAAATGTTGATTTATACCTAAAAATAAATGTTTATTAAAATTTAGTATTTAACGTTGTTGCACGAGAATTTTATAAACACTCGAAAGGTTTCACCATTCAAATATCGAGGATTATCGATCAGAATTCACTCTGTTCATCCTCCCGTGTCGAAGATTTTCCATCCTCAAGGCTGTTTCCAACTAAACTTCGTATCGTTTCGTTCGTGTATCGATTCAGTAGTTGATAAGGTGCTAGTTTAAGGCGTAGAAGCACACGTTGAAACTATGTTTCTCACGAACGATCGTATCGAATCTTCCGACCCTCTTCCGGTAGCCGTTTACCGTACACGTTTTACGTTTCGCGATTTGCGAATCCGCTTTGCTAACGCGATCTCCGAAATCCTTGACCCGCCGCGAGGCCAATTATTATCCGTTGATCTGGATTTCGCGTTAGTCCACGGTTCGCAGTAATTTGATGAAGCGAAGAGAAAATAATTGGTTCTTTTTATTTGTACAATAAAAAGAAAGAACAATACCTTTATTTTTGTACTGATCAATAATCGTTCTATTTTTATATTTTTTACAATATACAATCATTTTGCAGAGGTTAATCGTTCTTGTGTTTTAATATTCTTTGTGAGAGTCTGACAAAAAATTTTTGAAAGGGAAATAATCGTTCTTGTATTTTAATATTCTTTCTGAAAGCTTGACTCATATTTTTGCATGGAGAATTTTGTAACTGGATATTTGTTATTAAAGCTTGATAATATTTTGTACTAATATTTCAATGTTTTGTTGCAGATGATGACATGGTGGTTCACGACGTTCATGGCTCCAGCCATCAAACAAAAAGTCCACAGCTTACCTGGAGTGGAGTATCTTTATGAAGTTATGTCGCCAGAGCAGCTAGAAATCCCAGCGTATATTACAGAATATGACATGACGGTAAGGACTTTCATCTTGGGAAAGTGAAAGAATATGGAGAGTATTGAAGAGTCTGATAAAATATCATATTTTATTTATTACTGTAGATAAATATTCTTTCATCATTTTGAGTATCATCAGATATCACAATTGTTCAACAATATAGTCTGTCATATTGTCCGGAACAAGTCTTCATTAATCTTTGATTTTGAGTCACTTAACATATGTGCTGATACAACTTTTCAAATACAGACATTAAGTTACTCTTTGTGCAAAATCTGTATCACTAGAAATTGTATGACACAATCTATTGAATAAATATAACAATAGTCAATGATATTCACACATCACATGTATAGTTCAAAATTATCAGTCAAATATTCCCTTGAACCAATTTCAAGAATCAGCTCTCCATATACTCAAGCCATATACCCAGAAAAATTAAAAAATAACCTCCAGAAACGTGTTACCGCTTCTCCCTTATATTATTTTAACGTGAAAGGGTTGTATTAAGAAAGTATAAATGTTTCAGATAAATGGAATGAGGTATTATCAACCAGACCCCGTCTCTTCATCGCCGTCGACGTCCACGTAACTCACAGAGGCGGATTCCCATCCTGCGAAGCACTGGTTAGAAGAAATTCGGATCGACTGTTCCGGATAGTACGGTTTCGTGCGTGTTTCCTCGACGACCATCCTGAATGCCCGCTTCCGCAGAAAGAGCGTGTGTAATACACGCGAAAATAATAACCGTCGACAAGGATCTTGTCGATCAGACGGCTCCTCCAAAGCACCGGGACGTCTGCGTCGCTTCGAAGAAGTGCCTCGCGAAATGAAATGAAACGACGGTGCTTCGCGCGTTTATTCGCCAATCGATCGTTGAAGAATCAAGTAAACCACTGCCCTTCGTCATCACGTGTTTATTGCTGGAAAATACAAGATAGCTTCTCCGATTGGCTACAGATGGGAGGATATTGGACAATCTTAGACAGCCACCGAGGAGAGATGGATCATAGGTGGTTCGAGGATACCAGAAATTGTTATTCGCTCGAGGTGCGAGTGTCGGCTGCCAAAAACACCAATAATCAGTATTCTCGTCGTCGTTGTTATGATAGAGAGGATATTTACCCTTGAATGTTAAACAGTTCAATTGGTTTCGAGACAGGGTCATGTTAACGAGTTAGAGAGAGTCGACGACTAATTGTAGAGTTTAAAATCAGACGGCTTAATACGAACTGTCGATCGCTTTTCTGTTATTTTCTTATCCGTCGTTGTACAGCGAAAGAGCGTATATTCGATTTAACGTGTGTAAATTGTATCGATATTTTATTATGTAACGTCGTTCACGAATGACATCTCGATACACGAACACACAGAGCTGAAAGCTGAATCTCATCGGCGGAAAGAGTTTGCTCTATGATGTTGTGAGTTGTCAGACTTATAATTAGCCTGTGTGTCGTTACATTCGTTAAGATTATATGAAACTGATGTGTAAAGGCAGAAATTTACCTCCGTCGTCGATGACGAATACATTTTATAGGTTAACGTCATTGAAGATTCACTCTGTTTCGTATGGACACCATCAGAATTCTGACCATACAGCCAATAATACATATGTGAACATTAATATCAGCTTAACTTTTGTTTCTATCTATTGAATTATGTAATAACAAAGTGTATACACATTTTATTGGTACACTCTGTATTGTCAATATAATATTGTCAGTATTTCTGTATTGAAAGACTGACAATATATATTGTCTAATGTATATATACTAAAGTATGTATTACTGATTCATGTCTTCTGTTTTCAGTAGTCTCAGTTAGAAAGATGAGCTAATCATTAACGCAGTTAGAATCTTGTTTGTCTTTTATTAACAGTTTAGTACCAACAATCCACCGCCAGATGGCTACAGCGTTTCTGGATACGTGAAACGCAATTTTTTTAATTTTAGATTTTAACGCTTCAAACAATCTGTAATCCGTTAATCGAGTTACATTGTGACCGTCTAACGTTCTGTTCGTGCCAATGAAGCGCAAGTCTCTTGTTTTCATGTAAAAAGAGGCAATTTCCTGTTTCAATAATTTCCATAGCTTACAGGATACATTAAAAATAACAGCATAGTAGAATGGATCGTGAAGTGTTTACATTTAATAATAAGCTATGGAAAGTCTTGTTGCAAATAAAATGAACTCGCGGTTGTGTATCAAGATTAGACGGTTTGATACACAATCGACAGAGACGATCATAGCAAAGGGATTTGAAAGATCAAACTGTGGATAAAAGTTTAGATTGAAAGAAACTGATACAAATGATTCGTCATCGACACGTATTAATCCCTGAAACGTTCACAGCTGAATGCCGAGCTCGTACTCGCGGTTCAATTCTAGATTAGATGAAGCAATAAACTTAAGAGCTTTCTCGCGAATCGTATACCTATCTGTATACGCAAATTTCGTGGGACAGAATCGTTATACTCGTTGTTAAGCATTTTTAGGCGATCGAAATGGCGAAAATCGACGTGATCGACATCGATCAACCCCGTTTCTCTCGTAAAAGCTTCTACATCGGAAACGTGGTTGATCGATCGCGGCTCAGTCGAAGGAAACTAATGTGTGTATCCACGTAAAAGAATTTTCCATATGTTTACCTCTGTATAGTTCGAGTACGCTTGATCATTGAGATACTTTTTCTATTAATTTTTATTGCGTTGGTGATGTTTCGTTAGTATAGCGTTAGAATCGCATTTCATTCAATAAATTCATCCCGAAATCATTGATGATCATTGAGAGATGTTCGTTTTACGAGGATGATTATTTTTCACGTTGTCGTTGCTCGAATAGTTTACGTTTCGATGAGAGTGTCTCTTCCTCGATTTTTCTGTCTATTATAACGCGAGCGACTCGAGATCGTTTGTAATCGAGTCACACGTCTGTGTCAGTTCGTGGAACTTTTCTGCGTTTTATTATACGTTTAACGACCTCACTGTCCGTCCCTGAATCGTTTCTAGTTGATATAAAGAGAGTCGCGCGAAATTTCGTTCGGCGTCGCCATTTTTCAAATGTATCTGCATTCTGATATCTAGAAATTAATTGACAAGAATTATATTAAGAGAAAGTAATGTAACTGATGTTATTCGAATTGGTTAATTTGAGGTTATAGTTTGCTATCTTATGTAACAATAACGTTATTATATATTTGAATAGGTTATGTAATTTTAAGTCAGTTAAATAGCAAATTAAAATTATAAGATAGTTTCAAAGTAACTTGAAAGTTTAATTTATAATTGATTAATGTGTCAATCACATTAATTTTGAAAAATAAATGGTAATTTTAATTATACAGAAGTATTGAACTAGATGAAAGAATTATGAGAACGCAGATAATTTGAAAGAAGAAAACTTAAACAGTTTTGACGTTCGAACGCCCCTTTCGTCGCGGCTATATAATTATGTTGAAAAAGAGTTGATTGTAAGAGACGTAAGTGAATGTGTCGTAGGCAAGGGGAGGTTTGTGACAATATGTAATTATCGCGTGCTTATGCGAGTGACGACTGAGATTCTGTCTGAAGCCTTTTAAAGTCCTAGTCTGGTCAAATTGATCGTGTCAACTTAAATGCGGTCTTACAAACCATTAATACATTATTACAATAATTGAACTTAATGGAGTATTATGAAACTTTTTTGTGTAACATTCTAGAAAGAAAGTTGTAATTTATCAACAAAGTTATTCTGCAAATTATTTTTGTTTGTAAATTAAATTCCCAATCCCAAGGTATGGAGTTTCCAAAATACAAAATTTTCAGGAGATGTAATTTCACCTTTCTGTATTTTTGAAAAATATTTCTATATTTCTGTGGTTCCTGGATCCTAAATTTTTGTATTGTTGAAAGGTCAAATTTACAAATTCTCAAATACCCAAATTCTTAAGTTTTAAAATTAGTAAAATACCTAACCTAACCTGAATACCTGAATTTTTAAAAATTAAAATTTATTAATTCTGATATTGCTAATAATTTAAATTTCTAAGTCTAACTATTCCCTAATTTACAAAAGACCAAATCTCCATATTTGTCCAAATATTCAGCTCCAAAATTTGAAAAGCCCAAACTTCTGTTCCACAAAAATGGCGACATAAGTCCATCACATCCAAATGACAAAATTCGACAAATGTCAGTGTTCCAAAGAAGAAAATTAATGAAAGTAGATCACGCTAAGACTTTAAAAGAGTACGCTCGTGAGTTAGGCTTAACGCTTAGAAGATAATCTTCGGCTTGACAAAGTAAATCGAAACCGCTGTTCCCTCGCTTTTAGAGGCCTCGAAACGGAAACGATCGGAAGAACTTGTAAAACTGTGTCGTGCGTCAGTTTCGAACGGTGCTGTTTACTCTAAAATTCCCGAGATTCACGTTTAATTTCCGAACTTTTCTCGTCGAGCACGTTCGTGCTGAAAACTGTGAAAAAACCTCGCGATGACATAATCGCTTTCAATGGTCGTCGAACAATACCGGTGACAGAAATAAATTTTACACGAATGCAACGCAGTTAATGCAGTGAAGTGTTCCTTCAATCTTTATCGAGAAATTTGAATCGTGAAAAATTGTTGCCATTCCGTCACTTTTTTAGAGAATGACGCTTCATTATTCCATTGCTTTAATGGAATGCCTCGTGAATATGCAAAATCGGTGGCAAGCTTGAGGTTAATCAATATTGATCAATTATAAATAACGAGTCAATGTACCGTTATTAAATCTTACATCCACTTCATTTGAATATTCGTTTCAGTATAAATACATCGACGGTTTATTTCGATATTCGATCATTTCATGCTCGAAAGATTCACGTTTTACCAAAATACCGTGTTCGCTTTCTCACGTTACCTCTTCCACAAGACTAAACGTTAATACATTTCAAATCGTTCCAAGAACGTTTCATGAAAAGATACATTAATTAGGAGGAAAACATCGAAGAAATTTAGCGTCGCGAATTTTATATGAATATACAAATCCATTCGGACACCTTAAAGAATAAGCAAAAATTTCGGTGGATTTGTACCATCGCATTTGTACGCTCCATTTTTCTTTTTTATACGACGACACTTTTTACCAAATCGCGAATGGAAGATCATCAAGGTAGCTGACGAGAAGGCAAGTTTCGGAAACTACACGTGCATTGTCGTGTGTGTGTATACGCGATTACGGTAATCACATGGTTTAAATTGTAATTGTTGTCGCGATTGATATAGATTCTAATTAATCGAGGTATATTTTTCTCTTGGCGCCCGGCCTTTAAACAGGTGCACACCTTGCCCCTTCATCTGTTTTTTTATAGATCGAGCAATAAACGTATTGTTTCAACAGAAAGCGTGTTATTTATTCCTCACTGGAAGAGAAAATGTTATCTTATCTTAGTGCGATTAGGAGCAACGTTATGGCGATCAAGGTTCAAAAATTTTTACCTAAGAAATTATTTTATTATGAGACAATTGGAGAGAAGATTCTTTTCTAAGGAAAGATTCAAACACATGTGTACTTGTAAAATACATTCGTAGAGGACACTAGTATAGTACTCAGAGGCTAGAGGTCTAGTAGTTCAAAGGTCAAAAGATCTAAGAATTTACGGATTCAGTATCAGAATATACAGAGCAGTGTAAAGATATAGATATCTAAAAATGTAGAACTACACGTCTTGATGTAACAGTCACACTTGTTTGACTTGTACAATGTGAGCAGGATCGAAGCCATCACTACTTTCTACACTGTACTGTTTTAGTCTCAACATAGCATTATTAATTCAACAATATGTTGGGACGTAGCAATGTAAATATATATCAGTCAGTCATATACATTTGATCAGGGGTAGAGTGGATCAGATTGACGAGCACGGATCGAAGCCATCACTACTTTCTACACTCCACTGTCTTGCTCTCAGCAAAGTATCATTATTTCAATCATACACGAGGATGCTCTCGTGTTATACTTACAGTTTAAAGCTCTAGTAATGTGAAGATATAGAAATCTAGAAATGTAGGACAATCTTGATGCATCACTCACACGTGTTTGATTTCTGCAATGTAGGTTTGGTTCACACTTTTTTCTAAAACATAGATCTTTTGTGGGTCATAAACTCTGTGCCTCAATTTCTACGATCTATATAGACTTGTTATTGGTTCCCTGTATAAAAGAAGATGCTTGAAGGGTAACTCTCAAGATGTAGGTCAGCTCGAGCACGGATTAAAGCCATCACTACTTTCCATACTCTGTTTTGCTCTCAGCAAAGTATCATTATTTCAATCATACACGAGGATACTCTCGTGTTATACTTACAGTCTAAAGCTCTAGTAATGTGAAGATATAGAAATCTATAAATGTAGGACAATCTTGATGCATCACTCACACGTATTTGATTTCTGCAATGTAGGTTTGGTTCACACTTTTCTCTAAAACATAGAAGATCTTTTGTGGATCATAAACTCTGTGCCTCAATTTCTACGATCTATATAGACTTGTTATTGGTTCCCTGTATAAAAGAAGATGCTTGAAGGGTTCCTCTCATGTTCCCAAGATGTAGATCAGCTCGAGCACGGATCAAAGCCATCACTACTTTCTATACTCTGTTTTGCTCTCAGCAGAGCATCCTCATTGATTCAACCGCGTGCATGAACGCGCGCGTGTTGTTGTACTCGGAGCGTCGGCGTACATTCACAAAGCCAGTCTTTCCTGTTATACGCGCGGCGCCGAGCCAGTGAGCAGCGCGACGCCGAGCCGAGCGGAGAGAAGCGTTGAACGCCGTTAAATTCCGCGTCGATTGCGCGCACGATCGCGATCAGGTGTTCTCACAGAAGATCTATCAAACGTGAAACCATCTGCCGGAAGAAGAAGAGAAAATCCGACGCTCAGCGTCCGCAAATGGCCAGACGTGTCGAGATAACAGGTAACCGCGTGCTTCGAATCGACGTGATACCACGTCAGTCACCTGATCGTCTATTTTGGTGACTCGTGTCACCACGACACTGATCGGTCCTTGTCCATTCTTATGTTTCCTGATCATTTTATGATCACGAAACGATGTACCGTGTACCGAGGAACTTTACCTGTTGAAACCTTGAGCATTTCTGGGGAGACTCTTATCGGATCTTTCTGACCTTCGTACGATTCTATGGCTTCTTTTATTTTAATTCTTTGGTTTAGTTTGGTGGAAGAATTGCGAAGCTGGGTGAGATGGTAATTTGAGTGAATTGGAAATTTTGGGGTTATTGTTAATTTGATAGAATTGGGAATTTTGGTGAATTGTTGATTTGCAAGAATTGTGAATTTGGAGGAATTGTTTTTTTCTGATGGAACTTCCGTTGTGATTTAACAGCTTCCTTTAGTTCATGACTTCTTTAGTTAATTATTGTTCTGTTGAGGGATTTTAAAGTTGAAAGAATTTTTAATTTGGAAGAATTGTTCATTTGAAAGACTTCTTTATTTTGAAGAGTTTTGTTAACTTGGAAGAATTTTTAATTGGGAGGAAATGTCGTCCTACATCAGTTGGAACTTCAGTCTTATGATTTAATGACATCAGAATTTTTACAATTTGTGATTGCAAGATATAAAATTTTATACCTCTGTAATTGTGATGCTATCCCTTATACCTCTCTAATTGTCACTCTACTGTAACATGTACTTCAACATATTATATTTTATTTAAATTTTTATGATTTATTTCATGAATATCTCAAAGAATGAAATCTGACTAAAAACTGTTATCTACCTAAATTTCTCTGCTTAAAAAATTTTGAGTATGACAACACTTGTTAAAATTGAAATTACTCTGACTTGTCAACTTTGAAAATATAAAATCTAAAATTATCAACCTAAAAATAGTAATTTCAAAGAATTGAAAGTCAAGTTTCAATTACCATAATTTAACTTTGTAGCATCATTAAAAAATATAACTGATAACCTTCTATTAAAAACTTGAATATTAATATTTTATTACATTCAAATGATCTCGTGTAGAATTTAGATCATCGTCAAGTGTTTATAGTCTTAATGAGTTGGATTCATGCTATCACAGAATATAATTAACAAGTTTTATTCATGAATTCGATAAATGTATCGGACAATTTTGCAAGTAAAATTTTCTATTTATGATCGTTAAAAGTTCGGGTTCAATGGTCAATTCTGTAATTATAATGCTGTCGGAAGATCTAGTTTAATGGACAATTGAATTGTTGATAAGGAAACATAAAATTATGACTTAGGTCTAAAATTATAACTTAGGTTAAATATTTAATGACTTCAATTTTTTTGAACATAAATATCTAATAAATGAAAACATTTCAAAGTTAAATATTTAATGGCTCGAATTTTTTTGAAAATAAATATTTAATAGATGAAAACATTTAAAAGCTAAATATTTTATGACTTAAATTTTTTTGGAAATAAACATTTATTAAATGAAAACATTTCAAAGTTAAATATTTTATGATTAAAATTTTTTTTTAAATAAATATCTAATAAATGAAAACATTTCAAAGTTAAATATTTAATGACTCAATTTTTTTTTAAAATAAATATCTAATAAATGAAAACATTTCAAAGCTAAATATTTAAAGACTTAAATTTTTCTGATAATAAATATTTAATAAATAAAAACTTTTTGAGATTAAATATTTAATAAATGAAAACATTCTAAAATTAAATATGTAACGAATAAAAATTTTGCAAAAACTCAAAGAAGTCGATAATTAATTTTTTAAACAGGAGTTTGTAGAATATTTATGGACTCTGTTATTCTATAACAAATTTTCTTGTGACGTTAACAAAAGAAGTTACAAAATATTCTTCCATAAATATTTTGAAATTGTACAAACCTTCTGTCCTCTTCTTTACACTAAAACATTGAACTCTATTTACGTTTCACTGTAGTGTCGAAAGAATATTTATCCAATAAATACATTTGTTATTTAATTCGTTTCCCAACAATTTTCTGACGTAAATCGTTTCACGTCAAAATTTCATTAACTTCGTATTAAATGAAAATCATCGTTTGTACGACTTGTGGACTGCGTAGTCGTTTATTAATGATTCTTTTAACGACTTCCTGATTCCCAAGCTGGCCTAAACGGGCGATGTATGGTGTCGAACTAATAAATTCTGATACCGTAACATCACGAGACACTTATCTCATTGAGGTCGCCAGGTTTTCAGTACTTCAGAGTGTTTACAAATAAAACAAAATTTTAGAGATTTCAAAGGAACGGTATTTATGATCCATTTCTTAGACAACTGAGATAAGTATTTCTTCAGTAAATCTGCGTAACCGGTCGCTGCTTTGATTACGACTGAATATGATAATTTATGGAAACTTGATTGGTTAATGATTGAAAGTATTCTTTGTTGAAGGTGAAGCAAAGAGGAAAAAAAATATCTTTGTAATGTGAGAAATGTTTGTGGTATGTCATATGACTTGTATAGGAAATTTATAAAGTCAGTTGTAGGTTTTAGAATTTTTTGATTTTGGAGGAAGGTAAATTTTCAGATTTTTAGATTGTAGGTAATTTATAAATTATTATATTAGATGGACAAATTAGGGTGGCTTCAAATTTCTAGATCAGTGAATTACTATAATTTGAAATTTCTGAATTTTCGAATTAGTATAATTTCAAATTTCTAAATTTCCAAATTTCCAAATTACTATAATTTCAAATTTATAAATTTCCAAGTTACTATAATTTAAAATTTCTAAATTTCCAAAATACTATAATTTCAAATTTCTAAATTTCCAAGTCTAAATTCCCAACTTTCTAAATTTTTAAATTTCTAAATTACCAAATTACTATAATTTCAAATTTCTAAATTTCCAAATTACTCTAGTTCCAAACTCCTAAGTCCCCAAATTGCTAAATTCTCAAATTACTATAATTCCACATTTCTAAATTCCCAAATTACTATAATTCCAAATTGCTAAATCCCCACATTGTAAAATCCCCAAATAGCTAAATCCCCAAATTGCTAAATCCCCAAATTGCTAAATCCCCAAATTGCTAAATCCCCAAATTGCTAAATCCCCAAATAGCTAAATCCCCAAATTGTAAAATCCCCGAATTGCAAAATCCCCAAATTGCTAAATCCCCAAATTACTAAATCCCCAAATTGCTAAATCCCCAAATTACTAAATCCCCAAATAGCTAAATCCCCAAATTGCTAAATCCCTAAATAGCTAAATCCCCAAATAGCTAAATCCCCAAATTGCTAAATCCCTAAATTTCTAAATCCCCAAATAGCTAAATCCCCAAATTGCTAAATCCCTAAATAACTAAATCCCCAAATTGCTAAATCCCCAAATTGTAAAATCCCCAAATTACTAAATCCCCAAATTGCTAAATCCCCAAATTGTAAAATCCCCAAATCACTATATTTTCAAACTCCTAAATCCTCAAATTACTACAGTTCCAAATTTCGAACAACTCAAGTCGAATAAATCCTCAAGAATATCACCTTGTCCAGCCATAACGCTTCTATAAATAATTTCTATGGGAAGCAGGGCTATGTGTATAGAGGTTAACCTTAATCACACTTCAACTCCTGCTTGAATTGACTGTAGCTCATTTCTAATAATTTCATGTACTTACGTTTTCTATGGCAATTTTAGTACATAATTATTTTTTGACATACTTAATAATATATTTGTTTGTGATATATTTAATAACATTTTGTATATAACATATTTAATAATATTTTTTATGCATGATGTATGTAATAATTTTTTTTGTATATGACATATTTAATAATATTTTTTGTGCATGATGTATGTAATAATTTTTTTTGTATATGACATATTTAATAACATTTTTTGTGCATGATATATATAATATTTTTTTTTTAATATGACATATTTAGTAATTTTTTTTTAACATGGCATAAGTTAAAATGTCCTACATCATACAAAATTAAAAAAATTAACAGCGTCCAAATTACCACACAATGTACCTAACACCAACAAGTTATACTAATAAAATTAACGTCAGCGAATTTTAATTAACTATTAGCGAATTCTAATTAACACATCGTAACGTGTACCGATAATATAAAACAATAGCAAACAAGTACGTGTGAAAATTACGAACAAGTAACAACTGTACAAATGTTAATTTTTGGCTTTTAAAATTTCAATATTAATTAGCCTCTGAACTTGAACTCCGAAGAGGTCTTTTATGTTAATACACGTGTGTGTAAAATTTATTCTTGTTCCAAATATAGTAGTTTATTCGAGCTCTTGGTTATTATTTTTAACTGTAATAACTACAATATCAATTCTGCGTTAATTAATATCTTTGCACAAGGACGTGAGCAGAATATATATATTTAATCGATAAAAAGTGGGAAAAAGTTATATAAAAATCTTCGTATGTGGCCATGCATGAGAACGTTAAGAAATTTAGAAGATACATCATTGTTATTTTATAAGACATGTTTTTTATTTTTATTTATGAAATACAGGAATATTATTGTTAATTACAAAGTACGTTATATTTATTTTTATTTGCAAAATAGAGGAATATTACTATTCATTACAAAGTCTATTATTTTTATTCTTATTTGTAAATTACATGATTATTGTTAATTACAAAATTTGTTATTATTATTTTTATTTATGAAATGCAGGAATATTATTGTTAATTACAAAGTCTATTATTACTATTTTTATTTATGAAATGCAGGAATATTATTGCTAATTACAAAGTGTATTATTATTATTTTTATTTATGAAATCCATGAATATTATTGTTAATTACAAAGTCTGTTATTATTATTTTTATTTATAAAATGCAGGAATATTATTGTTAATTACAAAGACTATTATTATTATTTTTATTTATGAAATGCAGGAATATTATTGCTAATTACGAAGTGTATTACTATTATTTTTATTTATAAAATACA